CTCTTTACAAGTTTTAATTATTAGGTACGGAGGCGCGCGCCCTCCGATCACAGCCGCACATCACGGCTGTATGACTGTGGGGCTGGTACTGTCATATAGCAGCGATGTGCCGCTGTGATCGGAGGGCGTGTGCAGCTCTGAGCGTCCTCCGCACCTAATAATTAGACTATGTATAGGTAAGCTTTGACATCTCTTCTACATATAAGAGAATATAAATATAACATTACATTTGGTATAGTACACTCGTCCCTAGGTATTAGACTAGGGCATAAATAAGGATAGAAGCATGTATCCTGAAGTAATAATAGTTTTTTCTAGCAACTCATTTGCTTTAGACTAGCTCGGCCATTTTGGTATGTAGGCTTAGTTTTTGACAGGTGAGCTTAGTTCGATCACTTCGGCGTATGAGCATAGCTTAACCATTTCGGCATATGAGCGTAGCTCGGCTACTTTGGCGGGTGAGCTTAGCTTGACAACTTGAGCAAGTGGGCTTATCTTGAAAATGATCTAATTTTCAGATATAGGCCTTCGAAACCCGTAAGGTGATGATCACGCCGGACATAATTGGAGGAGATGGTTGCGGCTGTTTGTTGTAGTTTCAGTGGTTTTTTTTTTTTTCGTAAGGTTTATTGACACTTTTGTTGTGCCCTTGAAAAAAGCCTTGTAAGTTGATGGTCATATTTAGATATACAATTAAGTTGGAAGTAGTGTCAAAAATAAAATTTAGATATATAAATACCAAGGAAATGGATGGTAAATATGTAAATGTCCCCTTTTGTTTATTTATAAGGGAGGTTGGTTTTCATAGAGCATTGGTAGCAACATGAAATAATGATGATGGTGGTGCAATTGTAATTACCAAATTTTCCTCTTCTCCCCCGCATGTGTCCCTTGATCGAGCGAATTATGTGATTCCTCCACAATCGAGAATTTCGCAAAAACACCTCCCTTTTTCTCCCTCGCAACTTCACCACATCTTTCGACTATTTAGGGAAGATTGAAGCATATGACATAATCATTTCGTTAAGCATAAATGTCGATCCTCTCTGCTAAATCTCTCCGAGTTTTTGACCCCTTTAACGTTGTAGCTGTCGAGCCTCAATGATCAATAACCACTCTCTCTTACATTCACTCAAGATTTCTTGCTCCAAGTGGGAAATTCGACAAACATGTACTTTGTGTAGTTTAGTGGATATCACATAAAGTGAAAGCTTTGAACCACTCGACACTGAGTCAAGTAGTAGTTAATTATAAGCGAATAAATGTATCCTTCATTATTAGGTTCGTTATCGTTGTCACTTGTTTTTTGTTACGTACGCAAATAAAAATTTTATATTTATTAAATATATTTTCTAGTAGATTTTATCTAATGTTCAAATCAAATTTCATGAATTATCAACCTTGCTTTATTATTGCATAAATTCATATTTATTTATTCGTTTCTTGTACGCCCAAAATTTATCATTCATATAGAATTTTTGTGATAATTTAAATTGCTCCATTTCATAATTGTGGTTTGATTTTGGTGCATGAAATATGCACGATATTATAATATTATTATATCGACATTAAACCCTTATTAAAGTTAGCCGAACCGACAAATCTATCGAAAAATGAATGGATTTCTGTGGGATTTGAGCCACATTTTCTTGTTTCAGGGTGTCGTAGAAACAAGACTATTGGGTCAAATGTGTTATGAGATTTGGGGCATTTACATAGATTCCACACAATTTCTATGTATTTAAATATTTAACATCTAAACTCAAATATTTACTAGTATAACATCCAAATTTAATATCAAATAAAAAATCTCACTTGTGCTAACCTTTTAAAAAGTGAAATATATCTTTATATTGATACATGTTTATGACACAAAAATGTTATAAATGTACATATCAAACTTCACATGTTAGATATGTAAATGCAAATGAATTATGTGGTATGTGAGTAGTTTTTCATTATTATTATCATTATTATTTTAAGATTTAACTTTAGTACCACTCTATTCTTATGGATGTACATACATAACATCTAAACTTCATATATATGTGTGTATGCGCGCGCGCGTGTGTGTAACAACAACAAGCCTTTATCCTATCAAGCCGGGTGGGCTAATTGAATCCTTCTTCTCCATTGAATCCTATTGAGTGTCATATTTTCAATTAATTCGAATAAATTAAGACTTCGAATAAATTAAGATAATTTTTTATACAATATGCCTAAGTTCTTGTATGTCTACATTTCACTTTCTTAACATAAGTTGAATCTAAAATATCTACTATCCTAACCGTATCATCAAATGGTCAACATTTAATATGACCAAACAATCTAAGACTACTCTCTCTAATCTTTTATGCCACTAAAGCTACGCTAACTCTTTCACAAATAAATTCGTTTCACATTTTGTCTCTAAGTGTCAAGACACTCATTCACCTAAGCATTCTCATCTCAACAACACTAAACTTTGTTTTATGCTTCTCTTTTAAATGCCAACATTGTGCGCCATAAAACATTATAGGTCTTCGTTGATCTCATTTTTGGTGAAGTCTGTTTCCCTCTCAAGAGCATAGAATCTAGCCATATAACTTCTCTGTTGGCTCTCTTAAATGATTAGACTTGGGGCCCACACCATTTAAGAAATTTGAACCTTCTCTTGACTCGCTGTAATCTCATTTATGTGGTTTCAAATTCTCAATATTTAGTAGAGTCGATTGAAACCAAAATATTAAAACTCAATTTGAGTTCCTATAAGGATTGTAAATACCTCAGAAAGACCTTTTGGACTTGGAGATTTTAAGTCTTTGAAGCACCACATACACGCCACACACACATTCACACTCACAAACACTACAACTCACATTTAAACTTTCATACACGTCACCATTAATCAAAGAAAAAAAATCAATTTTCAAAAGTAATAAATCACAAACTAAAATCTAAAGAAAACCAAATTTGATGCATTTTTTACCCGAGTTTGCAACCCTTTAGCGTGTGTTGAGAGTTATGTCGTATAGATTGTTTGACTAAGCTTCAGCCGGTTTGTATTTTACCTGTAGGATGGCTTCGATCGGACCAACTAATATGATTCGCTGCACCGCACGCGAGTTAAACTTATATTGATCTGATCACCAACGAATTCGTCCAAACAACACCGGATAACGAAATGAACCACAGGAACACGCTCGGAACATCGATTTTATCTAAGATACATTTTTTTCTATGATTATGTGCACAAGTGAATCACAACATATTAACACATTTAAATGAAATAAAAAAAATACAAAAAAAAATAAAAATAAAATAAAATGTATAAATCTCAGAGCACACTCGATACCTAAGCCACTCTCTGTCGCCAAACTCTAACGCCAACTCGACCTCTCCCTTTTGAAAAATTATTGTATCAAGACACCTTATGCAAATTTATATCAGGTTTCGAACGTCATCTTTACTGAGCCGTTGAGTAGATCTGCGTACTAGTTAAAGGCAAATTCAGAAAAACTGTTCACAAACAGACAGAATAGTACTACATCATTACCTTCCGCATTTGATCACAAACTGTGTGCCACGCGGCAACCCATGCCTAAATTGTGTATGTCATTGAGCCTAAATTGTCACATGACCCTCTATTATTGGACACATGATGCAATTAGAATTGTAAACAAGTCGAGATTGAGCGAGCTCAGGCCTGACTCGTGTTCGACTCGTTTGAAATTGCTCGTGTTCGAAATCAGCTTGTGTTCGAAATTGGCTCGTGAACAATGTGTTTGTGTTCGACTCGATTTAAATATTTGTGTTTGTGTTCGTCTCGAAATTGGATTGTTAAAATTAAATTTAAAAAAATTAGATGTATAGTGTTGGATTCGAATCTGGGTCAAATATATGCAAATAAAACACAAAATCACATTACCACGAGAGCTATTAGGACTTTAAGCTTAAATATATCAATAATTAATATATATATATATATATTTATTTATTTATTTATTTCGAGCTAAGACAATGATATCACGAGCCAAAACTGTTTGTGCTTTGCTCGTTTAAATTTCTAAATTTAAAAATTCCTCTCTTCGCTGTTGCTCTCGCGACTGAAGCAACGTCCCTTTTTTTACCTGGTCCGTCGCGGTCGGACCTCGTCGGGTTCTTCTCTCTCCATCTCGTGAGAGGGTCGACTAGGGGGTCGAGGATGGGATCGGTGCTCTGCTTGACAGCTCGGCTTTCTTGTTTGAACGCTCGATTTTCTTGCTTGTTTGATCGGCATTCTTGCTTCTCAGTTTTCTCGCTTGATTTCTCGGTATTTTGGTTTGGTTGTTCGATACTTTTGTTGGATCGCTCGATTCTTGTTGTTTGCTCGATACTTTTTGCTTAGTTACTCGATACTTCTTGCTTGGTTGATTGTTTGGCTGCCGAGGTGTTATCTTTGAGTATCATTTCTCTACTATTTCAGATTTAACTTCAGGTTTAAGCATTTTGGCTGTGATCTGGCCATTGCTTCTAGACCTGATTTTTTTTTTCTTTTTTTCTTTTTTTCTTTTATGGATAGAACCTGAGATTTAAGATTATAATTTTTTTTGTGATTTTTCTTTTTTTCTTTTATGGATAGAACCTGAGATAAGGGTTTTTTTTGTGCACTTTGATTCAGCTATTGTGCATTTGTTCTATTCAACTTTCGATTGAACACATAGGAATGAGTGTCATGTATGTAAATACCCCAATATTATTTGGTGGGTAGTCAAGTGTAAGGTACGCCATTTCAGTTGCTTGCTCGGGCTTTCCTTACAAATTAAGACACCTGCTCTTATGGCTTTTCTTTAATATTGATGCTTGCTATACATATGGATGGAATTTTTGGCTTACCTTTATATGATCTTGAAATTTTTGCAACACCAAGACAAATATTTGGACATCTTCATGTTCTTCTTTTGAGCTTCATGATTTCGAATAACAAAAGGAAAGAAAGAGAAGAAGAGTGGGAATATTAAGATAGGTACCCTTTAGTTTCTATGTATTTACATGTCTAACACCTAAGCTTGTTTAATTTTCACCTATGTTATCTTGCATATGCATGAAATGTTGTATATCACTTTTAAAAATGGTGGCATCCTTTCTATGCGACTTGAATGATTTAGGTGCTATGAATGTAAACGACTAAAGTTTGCGTTTGATACGTAAATGCATAGGAATTGGGTAGTATGTATCTAAATGTATCTACTCTAAATTTATCACCATCATGTGATATGTCTTCCTATTTTTCTTAGTGAACCATTGCCTTCAAAATCAAATACAACAAGGCAGCCACCAACTGATTAAACCGAACTCTAATTAAATTTCATTAATTTCATCAGGCTGAACACTATTTAAATTCCATTGTACTGCTTTTACTTGAGCTTAAACTTCTAACCTCAATCTTGGTATGTTGAGTTAGGGCTGATATGAATCCTCATTAGATTTGTTAATTTAATCCAATAAAATTATTAACCTGATTTTTCCTCCAGGATCTTCATAAAGTTCACTTTGAATTTCTTTTTGGTTGAGGTCTCGCATATCACCGTACATCTATTTGGTCATCCTGTAGTAGGGAGAACATCAGGTAAACATTGCACCCAAATATTTATCAAATAAAAACAACACTATTTAGTGAAATGCACCTTATCATGCATAATTGAAGTGACATATATGTACAAATTGAAGTTTGGATGTTAAATATGTAAATACAAGGGAATTGAGTAGTATGTATGCAAATCTCCCTACTCTTATATATACATACTTTGTGGAAATGTTAAGATTTGATTGACATCATTCAAAATGAAGTACTTTTATACGGATCATCGAGCTGGCTTATAAGGTGGAAGAGATTGGGGAAATAAGCGGTGATGCAAAAGATATCTAGTGCTCAAATTGGGATAGTGAAATCGTATTATATCTCTTAACCCGATGACTTCTTAAGGGCCCAGGATTGGTGATACTATTCATCATCATTGGGTAAGAAGTTGCCCTTACTTTCATAAGCTTCGAACGATGGTCTAGATGCGGCCACGTTGTCGTGTATTACACGTTAGGGCATCCAAACCATGTATTAGGCGGCGACCCATCCAGACCGTTATCCGAATGTGCGGCCGCAACACAATATTTGCTCCATGATTGGAGCTAGCTGAGAAAGCGGTAACGAGATTGCGGGGTAAAAAAATCTTTGAAACTCTCGTATATTTGCTCTTTCCACTACACGCTGATCAACTAACCCTTATCATTTTCTTCCTTCCTCCAACCCCGCTTCATGCATTTCAAATCCTCTAAATCTTGTAAATCATCCTAGTGCGATTTACTAAATCCAAATTGAAGGAAAATGGAGGAGAAATTGGATTAAAGATCATCTATGGTTTAAAGATGTTCTTTTTTTTAATTTCGCAGGATTTTGCATAAATCTCATTTAAATCTTGGTCAAATTCTGCTACCATCAATCCCTAGAAGCTGAGCTCTCATCAAGGGAAAAGATTGGGCATGCGTAGGAAGGCGAAGGTTGTGTTAGGCTGATCAATATGTGTTTGAGCTTTGAGTTTGGGATGAGGAGTGTCTGCGGCTAGGAATTTGGAGGACATCAGATGCATCTATTGTAATGGTTGGTGCTTCCATGGAGTTTGGCGGCGAAGGTTCTGAAACTGATTACTCTCATTAATGTCAATTTCGACGACCCCAACTTCCTCTTCTTGCTGGCTAGAAGGTGTTGCCTTCTCTAGTCCCCTTAAATCTGTTGTTATATGTATATTGTTATGTGCCAGAAATTCACTTTTTTAGATGGATATTTTAAAGTCTTTGTGTTGCATGAAGTTCTAACACACACACACACAAATAAATAAAAAGGAGTGGGAGTATACACCATAACTTTTATTTGGAAAAACTCTAAAAAGTGAAATTATGTCAGTTGGCCATAGAGGTCGTAGTTGGTGACTGTAATAGTGCCTGTTGGCCGCAAAAACCATAGTTTGTGACTAAAACAGTGTCAATTGGCCACAAATGTCATAGTTGAAATTTATAACAGTAGTTGTTCACAACATAAACTGTAGTTGGTGACTGCAATACTGTCACTTGGTTATATATGCCATAGTTTTAAGCTTTAATAGCATTAATTGGCCACATTGGTTATAATTTGTGATTGCAATAGCATTAGTTGTAATAGAGGTCGCCGTTGGAGACTATAATAGTGGCAGTTGGCCACAATGACCGTAGTTTAAACTGTAATAGTAGTAGTTGACTATATAGTTCGTAGTTGGTGAGTATTCCATAGAAGACAATTTGAGAAAATGTGTGGCCATATTAAAAGAAAAGGCGATTGGAAATGTTTTCTTTAATAAAGAGAAGTTGAATGGGCATGAAAAAATAAATGTGAATTCTTGATGAGCATTGCATAGAAGACATTGAAGAGGGACCAAAATACTTGTTGCTAAAAGAACAACAATTTTAAGACCCCGAATAACACATTTACCAAGTGAAGGAGGCAAACTTGAAAGAATTACTTTTAAACCAAATGAATTTGTGTCATATGACAACAGGCTGGCCTTCACAAGCATAAAAGTAAGTAGCCTTCACAAGCATAAAAGTAAGTAGCTAGATGTGAGAAAAAACATTTTAGGTCATAGAAAGGGTACTTTGGGGGATAAAAAGTTGCCAAATATTATTCCTGGTCATTTCAGAAAAGAGCTCGAGAAACACCTAAGTTAATTTAAAATTTGATTATCAAACCTCTCATAAAATGAGGTAATTTACAACCATGCGTTAAAGAAGGATGATATTAACTAAAGTAATATTGAGAGTAAGACAACTTCTTAACTTTATTAATAGCTTTATCATATTTTTTCATAAGTCATGTAGTTGTAGGATGTTAAGGATTGGGGAGGGATTTTAATTTTTTTATTTATAGTAAAATGTTCATTTAATTAGAATGTAATATATTTTTATTTATTTTTTTTTGATAATTTAAATTGATTATAAATTTTTATAGATCAATTAAATTATTTAAAATTAATACTCGTCAAATAAATAAATAAATAAATAAATATAAATAAATAAATATATATATATATATATATATA